TAAGTGAAAACTGGTGTCCGTCACGTGTCTGCGGTTGACACACGTCTATGAAGTGAGGCCTCAGTCTTCCGATTGAATACTTTGCGATATCTGTAGTGAGTTGTGAGATAAGGGCGCCGAAAACGAACGGCGCTAATCGACAATAGATTTGCCACAACAGGTGCGACCTCTGAGGCGACGACTTCTCGGCGACTATACTGTCCTCAGATCTGTCCTCATCACGAGTTTTGCGATATTTTTCAGCGCTTTTCTTGTAATACAACACTTCCACTATAATTATCTGTTTATCAAAATACTTAATAAGCAATCGTTTTGTATAACTTATTGCTTGTCTATTAGTAATAGACTATTAATATTGCGTTCATATTCAAAATGTTTAATAAAAGCGAATAATTGCTGATTAAGTGAATGAATGACACAATTTCATGACATAAGCTTATTATTGGAGACATGCCAGTGCTCACCGATTCACAAAAGTTTGGAAACACCTAACAATTACTATTTATTAATGATAACATACTCCACTAAAGTATAGCGCAGTGCTATGGCACTGATTGACAGGTATTATACAATACAGGTATTGAATACAGTATGAACTAATGCTTAAAAATTTATACCGTATATAGTTTCAATGAATCATATCCTGAACATTGAATTGTGTATTAAACCAATTGATTGTTTAAATACATTGAAAGTCTATGGCGTATTTCCTTTACTGACACCTAAGCCAACAATTATTTCAAAACTAACATAAATTTAAAATATTAGACAAAATGATAGACACATTAATATCACATTAATCTAAAACAAATAAACATAACATTTAAATGACAAACAATTGGCACTAAAAATGGTAATAAAATGATTGTAAAAACTATTTATAACTTAAAATTAAAATTGTTATAAATATTGAGTTCATTATAAGGAGTGCTAACTAACAGTAAAAATCAAAGACATTTTAACTGAATGAAGACTTCATTGAACACCACATTTGATGGCAAAGACACGTCTGAAGCAATGATCACTGTATGGGATGTGTTGTGAACACACACTAACCGTAACGATGGGAATGATGGTTGAGTACAAGTAGTTGACAATCGATGGGATGGTATTGTCTTTGTAGGGATACCTAATGGACTCGTCATCGCAGTTGAAGCCCCGGTGGTATGGCTCGACGCCAGCGAACAGCACCAGCACTGGTATGCCAACTGTGGGATCAGATTAGAGGTTAAGATAGCGGTAAACAAGTGGTGGACATATGGACTAACGTATGATAATAGCGCACAAATCGGTGCCAACTCTTCGCACGTATCGGCGATTTTTTGCCACGAATTGATTCAAACCATTCATTGGTGGGAACCGTTGTCTTCGCGGTGATGGTTAACCAGTGATAATGACAAGTGATTCACACGTATATGAGTACTGACTGTGAATTGCAGTCAACAGTGATGTCTATGACTGTAATAATGATTGTGTGAATGCATTGCAACTCAATGTAAACAATGATTTAAAGTGCAGTCAAAGCAGTGGTTTGTTTAGCGCCCTCTTGTGTCGGCTTATCATACGAGTCACTGATTGGCTCATCACTGACCGATACACAGGTGTTAACCAATCAGGTGTTTGACAATCATTAACAGCGCTTTATTTAATTGTTAAAACTTGTATCAAATTAATGAAAAATGTAAATATAATACAATAAAATGTTATTATTTGTTAGTAATACAGTAGAGTAGCTTGATAATACAGTAGAGTAGCCTGATAATACAGTAGAGTAGCCTGATAATACAGTAGAGTAGCTTGATAATACAGTAGAGTAGCTTGAATACAAATATTGCACACAAAACATGATAAAATTATTTTTAATAAAACAAAATCATTAAATTATGTAAAGTTACAAAATATACATTAACATTTGATTTTTTATTATCTTGGATATTTTAATTAACTTAAAGCTTTAATGGATAATATTAGTTCACTTCAAGACATATACAGTATATGAACAGGGTAAACTAAAGTAGTCATTGTAAGCATTGTAAGTATATAAAAATATCCGATTTATTTGTCATTTCATTAAGTATTTGATTCTCAAAAGTGATATCTTTTTACAAATCAGGTATCAATTGCTAATAAGTCTATTGAAATACATGAGCGGCGTTTTCAAATTAAGCAAGGTCAAAATGGATTATCTATAAATTACATCATATCCCTAGGTAATTTTTCATTGCCTTAAATCATTTTAACACTTTTTTTTATAGAGCCTCCCTATTCGTAATAAATGGAGTTTTAATTTAAATTATTTTTTATTTATAGTTTTTATTTTGTATATTATAATTTCACCATGAACAATACAGTTGAATCAATTATATCTCAATTATTTAAATTAAAAAAGTGTAATTATATAATTGAATTAAAATTACTTTTTAAATATAATATAATAATTTTACCTGTCACAAATTTACTATGTTAATTCAACAAAATATTATTATTAATCAATGATTATATTTAAATTATATTTATATCTAAAATATAATTTTAAAATCAATGTTAAATAGTTATGTTCAATTGATTAGTTCTGAAAAATCTGTTCTCTCAACTATAAAAAGTGAATTGAAATACAAGTGTCACGTTTCAGAGGCTAATACACTAATTGACTGGTTTTTTTTATATAAACCAATACCTGTTTTGTATTAATTAAAAAAATTTGTAAAACTTATTCAAGTCTCTCTCTCTCTCTCTCTTTCTCTTTCTTTCTTTCTCTCTCTCTCTCCTTCCTTCCCTCCCTCTCTCCTCATTCCTCATTCTCAATGACGATCACATAGACTGCACATATATTTAACTCCCTGTGCACTTTGGATTTTCTAGTTCTTCAGGTTTACTGTATTTTATGAAATGTGGAAATATTTATACCATACATAAGACATGCAACTCATGCTCCCAATGGATTCATAAGAAAAGTCCAGTTTAGTGCAAACTTATGAATCAGTTTTGGCTATTTATAAAATTTTTGTACTTATTATACCGATAAATGTATACACAATAGATTGTCTCTAACTTTATTACCGTATATTCAATATATAAAACAATTAAAACTTTAAAGTACTGTATATTTTGATTGATTTGAATTTGAACAAATGTTTATCTAACAAAATTGTACTCAAATGAAACATGTATTGATATATCGAAAAATATAACGACTAGAAAATGATACAGTAACATTTATAAATGGGAGAGGGTGTGGTGATTTGTAGGTGTGATTAACCTGTCATATGTAGGCTCTAATATACTGTCCACAAATAGACAGATAAGTGAAGGCACAGGTAATTATTGACAGCAATTAGTGTTACATTAATGTACGGGAAAGATGTGCTTAAGAATTAGTTAAAACTTCAAATGAGGGATAAAGTAATAAAAAATGATTAAAATTCCCATAAGATTAACATCACGTATAAAATTATATTTAAAATAATTAAAAAATAATTTATAAAAATACAAAACAAACATAAATCAATTGTTACGGTATTAATTTAAATCAAACCATAAGTTTCCGTCAATTATTACAATATCTCACTCTTCGAAAGGCCTGAAAGAGAGAGAAATTTAGACAAAAACGGTATTTCGTGTGACTTTTGACGTAAAATAATAATAAAATAAAGTATTTATGACTACAAACTAATCAAAGATAAGAATCTGTTAGTGTTTAGAGATTAATATGAGACCAAACGTAATACTATTATTTACTTATATGTTCGTCCATTTCTACTTTACAACTATCATAATTGGGTACACGTTTAGGGCTTGTGATGGCAGTCGAGTACGAGACTGGAGTGCTAGTGCCGGTGCTGTCATTTACGGGTTGGGCATTGCTTTTAATTATCAGCAAATCCGATATGAAAGCTGTGGTCAGTATCGCGACTACTGTTCCCTGAATGAGGCCAATCAACACATCGCTCCAGTGGTGCTTATAATCGGAAATTCGTGAAAATCCCGTATAAATCACAATATATATGAGAATCGCCTGATATAGGGGTCGTATGAATCCCAAGGCTGACCACCTCAGCCGCAACTGCAGGTAAATCTGAGCACAAATCAAACAAAATGTTAATATTTTGCATAAAGTATTGTATAAAAGTAAAAAGCAAACAAATACTGACCACTAAATAGACTAAACAATAGGCGGCAAAGGATGAGTGGCCGGACATGAACGACAGGTGCGCATCACGTATACGGTGTGCGTTGTATGTGGTGGACGTGCACTCGTAGTCCGTGTAATATATAAACTCAAAGCCGGAAGGACAGGCACTTCTAAGTGAAAACTGGTGTCCGTCACGTGTCTGCGGTTGACACACGTCTATGAAGTGAGGCCTCAGTCTTCCGATTGAATACTTTGCGATATCTGTAGTGAGTTGTGAGATAAGGGCGCCGAAAACGAA